CACCTTGCTGGACTCCCAACTCCTCCTCTGAAGGATGACTGTGAGTCAGGGACGATGCCACTTGAAGACAATGCTGAGTCCACTGAACCAACACAACTCGCACTTCTGAGAAACGAACAGATGGAACACATGGTCACTGCCCCCAACTTTTTCTCATGATTTTCCCTACCTGTAGTGGCCCCAGAAACATATTCCCTTCCCTCCCTTCTCTTGCTAATATAGTGAGAAATCTATGAGGACAAGCCAAACACATCTCAACAGCCCTTAGCTACCATCCTAGCAAAAGGGGATTGAGAAGAAAAGGACCACATTACAGAAGGATAAGACATGCTCCCTCCTTCTAGTTCAGGGTCAGACGCTCTGACTGCAATGGGGGTAGCACCTGCCAAATGTGGCCTGCTGCCTGATTCTGCAAGTGTGGCTGGATAATGCCAGAACTACCCAGTTACTGTCTACAGTGGCTCTCAATCTACAAAGTAGAATGGGGCTGCTGCATGTGGGACCTTAAAGCCACAAAGCAGAAAGTATTTGCCATGGAGATCTTTACAGAATAATTTTCAACCTCTGTTGAACTCCCTCCCTTGACAGCTAGCCCGGGGTTCCAGAAAGGTCCCAGCAAGAGGGCAAGAGGACAGGTTTCCATGTTGCCATTAATAGGACTGCTACCTATTAGTTTCTCTGGAAAATCTTGGTGTCTTGAACAAAGTGGCACTGTTGGGAGGGTACTCGGAAATTTCTTAGTGGCTTTCAAGTTTAAGTAAGTTTTCTTTCTATTAAATATACAGAGACAGACCACTTATTATTGAGGCTATTAGTCCTGTAAAGGCAGATTAACTTGGTATCTTTTTACATTAAATTGATACAAATACTATTGAAAACACTGACAAGCACCAACAACAATAAAAACTTGACAGAACAGAAAAAGAACAACTTCCAATATTTCTGAATCATATACAGTGCTGTAAACCAACGTTACTTTAACTTTTAAAAAATTAAAAAAAAAATTAAAAAAAAAAACCTTGTATCTGGATCTCTGGAACATTCCCAAAGTGGATGAACAGTTGCAACATAAACAGTTTCTCTTCCTTTCCAGAGAATGGGGGGCTGTTTTTGACAAAGCTTCAAAGGATAGAAAGCATCATAAATATAAGGAGCAAATTTCAACAAACAAAACCTTCCGGCCTTTGAATTCATTGTAAGTAACACTCCTTAACAGGGCAGGAAAGTAGGTTGCAATGATTTCGGTAAAAGCAGAAACACACACAGAAGAAAAAAGAAAAAAAAAAAAAAAAAACCTGTGGTACATGGTGTTAACAAAACACAGCTATTTCACTTTCCGCCCTTTGGAAGAAAGCAGAGCAACATCAGCTACTGAATGTGCCCAAGTCCCACTTTGTAAGTACTACCAGCGCCCCCTGCTGGACATCTGATTCTACTGCATGCCCCTCCCTACAGGTTAGCCTCACTTCCCCGAGCCAACGTATAGTAAAATCACGGAAACTAGGAGGAAAAAAATATCTGCAGAGATATTTGCACCTCTTTACGGATAAGAGACTCCAGACCAAGCTGCCTTTGAAGTAACTTTTAACACTGCAAGTGCTTCTTGGAGATCACAGTTTAGCCCTGAAGGGAAAACCAGGAGCACTTCAACCCTAGTTCTTGACTCCAAGAACTTGAGAATTTGATAGCTTTGTAAGTATAGCTTGAAATCTGGGAGTGTGATAATGCCCCTCTTTTTTATGAGGATTGGTTTGGCTATGGGGGTCCTCTGTGGTTCCATATGAATTTCAGTAATGTTTATTCTATTCCTTTGAAGAATGCCACTTAAGCCTCCATAGGGATAATATTGATCTGTATATTGCTTTGCTAAGAGAGCCTGATGACAGCGTTAAGTCTGCCAATCTACCAGCAGGGAATATTTTTCCATATCTGTGTGTCTTCTTGTATTTTTTTTAACAGTATCTTACCATTTTCATTGTATAGTCCTTCACCTCCTTTGTTCACTCTTAGGTATTTATTTCTTTTTCTTGGTTGTGAATAGGATTATTTTCTTGATTTCCCTCTCTTATAACTCATTGTTTACACACAGAAATGCAAGTGATTTTTATAGATAGACTTTGTACCCTGCCACTTTACTGAATTATTATTTTAATTAGTTCTTTAGTGGAGTTTTTAAGGTTTTCTCTGCATGTCATCGGCAAGTAGTGATAGTTTTACTTCTTATCTCCAAATCTGGATTTTTTTACATATTTTTCTCTTGCCCAATTGCTCTAGCTAGGCTTCCAATATTATGTTGAATAGTGGTGAAAGTGGACATCGTTGTCTTGTACCAAATCTTAGAGAAAGTGTTAAGTTTTTCACCATTGAGTATGATGTTGGTTGTGGATTTGTAATACATATATAGTCTCCATTATGTTGAAAAATGTTCCATCTACTCCCAGTTTTCTGCGGTTTTATCATAAATGATTGTTGAATCTTATCAAATACTTTCTCTGCCTCTATTGATATCATCATGATTTTTATCTCCTCTTGTTGATGTGAATTACACTGATTGCTTTTTGGATGTTGAAGCCTCCCTGTGTCCCCTGGAATAAATCCCACTTGATCATGATGTATGATCCTTTTGATGTATTATTGAATTCGGTCTGCTAAGATTTTGTTGAGGATTTTTGCATCTATGTTCTGTCAGCACAAGACATGATTATATTACATAGCTTCCACCCCATCACTGCTCTCCCCGGGGCCCCAAAGGCAGCCAGGCAATGGGGCAGTCACTGGAGAAAAAAGGAGATAAGTTACTACTTGGAGCCACCTCTCCCCACCTCAGAGGAAAGGCAGTCCTATTCCACTCTTGGGTTTGGGGCCAGGTTTCTCATGCTCACCATGAGAGTATTTTAGGGGCTAAAGAGAGGTAGGAAAGCTAGCTGCTCTTCTGTCTGCTAACTCTTGCTGCAGAAAATAGACAAAGTAAACAAACAGAGAAAACCTCAGGAAGCTGCTGGTGGAAGTTCACCTACATGCCCACAAGGATAGAAGCCGTCCCGTTCTGCAGACAGGAGCTCTCTGCCCTACCTGTCCTCATGCCTGATGATGCTTTGGACATAGAACAGAGTAGGGTCTGCTGAGAGGTTTTGAGGAGAGAGATGAGGAAAGGAAGGCTTAGAGCCTGACAGGAGTGAGACCCAGGCGGGTAGCAGCAGGAAGGCCTGGGGGAAAGGCAAGAGTTTAGCCTTCTCTCCCCTAACAGAGATGTGGGCCCGGCCTGTCTGTGCTAAATCCTGTTACTTCTAATTTGAAAAACATTTGGCTCCCTGAGAAGCAAAAACTAGGAGAGGACTCTTCTTAATCCATCTTGTACATCCTCAGAGCTGACGTCAATAAACCTCTCAGGGAGTTTCTAGCAGTCGTCCCTGGATAGAGTAATGATGCCAGTGACACAGAGCCAGTGGTCCAGGGCCCTGGCGGGGGAGGGGGGCAGAAGGATGCTCACAGGCATCTTCTGGGCTCTGTCAGGAAGAGGGGAAACACAGCCCTCTGAGAGAAAGAAAAAAGCATCTGTCTCAAAGAAAAATGATTGTATTGGGTAGGAAATGTCATCCTTAATAAGCCAGCCAACAATAAAGGAAGCAAGCTGCTATCTCTTTGAAATAGTAGAAAAACACTAATTTTTTTTTAGAAGATAACTGTTGTGGTTCACAATCATTGTCCTTTAAGGATGCACAGTTTTTCTTTAATCAGATGGTCATCTATTATCCCTGTTTTAGAGAGAATGAAACTGGGGTTCAGAAACATCCAGTAACTTTTCCAAGGTCAAAAAGGAGCAGGTAGAAACAAACCCAATTCTGTCTCCAAAGCCTGGGTTCTGTCCACACTGCTTCTTGCCTTCTTGCATTCTTCAATTTCTGACTCTTGGATTTTTTTTTTTTTTTTTTTTTTTGTGGGACCCTCGCCAGCGGCCGGGGAACGAACTGGCGCTGCAGAGGCTGTAGGCAGCTTCGCAGCCCAACGCTCAACTGCTGCGCCACCAGGGGAGGCCCTCTGACTCTTGCATTTTTGACACTGACAACTTCAAACAGGTTTGGACATTAGGGTTGCAGAGTTGCAGAAGCATGCCTGTGGACAGTTCGCTCCCACCTCTACATTCCCAGCTGAAACGGACCAGAGGCTCAGGTTGGCTTCAGCAATGCCTCCTCCTGCAGCCAGGCCATGGCAGCTGTCCAGACTCTCCCCCTCTCAGCCCAAATGCACCACCCACTCGCAGCCCCCACAGTCATAGCCACATGGTCATCTTGTCTGTCTCCTTCACTTTTTACCTGGGTCTTTCCAGGGTGAAGATTTACTCCAGATGGATTGACTCTGAGCTCTGAGAGGGTGTTTCATCTGATGCAGACACCAGCAGGACGCACATGATCAAGAACCTCTCCACTATGACCAGAGAAGACCGCACACACCGCACAAATTGAGACACGGACTCGTGATCCCACAGGAATCTGCTTGGGGTCTCCCTTCACTGATACTCACCTGGCCCCTCAGGGAGCAGAAAGTAGAAGAGCAAATCTGTGGAAGGAAAGAAATTCCTTTCTGATAAGAAGTTTGATTCTTGAATTTGAATATGTATCTGAAAGACACTGAGCTAACTAATCTAAAAGAATCTGTTTAAAATCAAGAGACCATGTGACTGAGATACCAAGAATTGGCAAGTTTTAGATTTATTTTTCCTCCTTCAAAATGAGCTATGGGGTTGAAGACAACATGAGGTCACTTACGGAAAATGAAGAATCTATTTTTTTTTGCATATCAAGTTGTAATATGTAACTGTCCCACGTGTGCTTGCATGTTTTATGTCCAATAACCATTTTCTTTTTCACATGGTGAGTCCATGCAAGAATTTCAGCCGGCATTTTGCTACAGGCTCCCATGATATCCTTGTGGCCAAGAAGGTGAAATGTGGGCTGGATGATAAAACACTCATGTCAACTCTCATGCTGCCTATATTTTGTTCCTCCTTGGACACCAAATTTTTAGGCAGGTATCGACAGAGTGGATTTTCCTGTAAGACAACAGCAAGAATGACCAAAAAAATCTGGTAATCCTAGCCAAGGAGGGATGGAATTTTTCCTCTGGTGAAATGGGGAGGGTGTGGGTCTGTGAGAGAATGGGATGAGTACTGGATTGGAGGCAACCGAGGTTCAAGTGGAGAATGTTTCTCTACTACGAAATCAGTCATCCACATGCACTCACCATGCTCTGGACTGTAATTCATGACAGCATCGAAAAGGCAGGGTGGACACAGCAGGATTACCAGGGGAGAGAGCCAGAGTTAGACAGAAGGGGTAGGAAGATTAGGAAACCTGGAGAAGAATCGGCAGCCCCAGGGAGCAGTTTGATAATCACGAAGTAAGTGCATCAGCAAGTCCACATTACAGACATGGCATTTCTGGGGTAATTCCAGATGGACGGGAACAGCATTCTATCTCAAATAAGCAGATGGAACGTGTCTTCAAAATGGCCAAGCAGGGAGGGGATAGCAGGAAATACCAAATCCGGAGTAGGGATGCATCTAAGGAGTTCCACCCCAGAATTACCAGAGATATTTGCAAACGGGCGGATCCTGGATGTGGACTTGGCAGGAACACAGCTGAAAGCCAGCCTGGCTATGAGGGAGGATTTTCCAAAAACCCTCCTGAAAGAACCAGATATAGTGAAAGCCCAGGAAGAAGGGGATTAGTCCCCAGAAAGGGGGGGATTAGTCAGCCCAGAAAAGGGGGGATTAGTCTGTGTGGAGGGAGATAAAGCAAACTTCCCTCTGCCCATACTTACTGGACCACAGACTTCCTGAGATTATACTTTAGGATGATCATTCCTTTGGCTAAAATACAAGTGGTCATTGAGTGTTTCTTATCACAATGCCAGCACCCTTGAGGGCAATAATGTTTTAGCAGTACAGTGTATTAACACCTAAATGAGGCTTACTTCCGGCACACACTTCCAGCAGTGGGATCCAGACTTTAAAAAAATATATTTATTTATTTATGCATACATGAGCTGGGGTACAGGCCAGAGGTGTGGGGGTTGAGAGGATTCACCAGAGACAGAGTGGGGAACAGAACAGGCAGACTGACTGAAACACACTGCTGAGGGGAGCAGCGGGCGAGACAGGAGAGGTCTGCCGCGCCATGTGGGTTGCTCCCTGGCTGGCTGGGGATCGAACTCGTGCTGCAGAGGCTGTGGATTGCTTCATAGTGCGGTGCTTAACCCCTTGAGCCACCAGGGAGACCCGCAAATTTTATTTATAACAGAAACAAATTAGTTTCTGAGGGCTGCAAGAAGAGCTCCTGAAGGCCAAGGAAAACTATTCAAAGGGTTTCTTTCTAACGGTGAGTGGCTAAGAACAAATTAGGAAAACTTGACAAAGGAGCAATTAAAAAGAAAAGAGAAAAGACATGTAAACTGTCTGAACTGAGAGGAGGGTAGCTGTTTACAATCCTGTACACTAAACTAATACACACAGTCCTGCAGAGGCGGGACACTGAGGACCCAGCAGGCTGCAAACGCCACACAACTCCTCCCCCAGGTATCCGTTAGGTGTGAGACATACAAGCAGCGTGTGCGCCCCACCTCAGCAGGCCACTGGGAACTACGGGTCTCTGCATTTGCAAAGCTTCCACTGAGATGCCTTCATCCTCAACACAACAGCTGAAAGAAAGCCATTGTTCCTTCAGAAAGCGTGATGTCTCGGCAATTACATTGTTCTACCTGAGGTCCTTCAGTCTAAGGACTAGACACTGGTGTTTTGCAGAATGCTTAGACCCAGCCTCTCCCCACATTTTGTTTTCATATCTAGAATTTGGCAAATAAGTAGAAAGTAAGAGTAGGGAGACACTCAGGAAGCCAAGCTGAATGGTCCAAAGTGAGAGCATTAAATGCATGAGCTTGAACTGTGTGTCCTCTTTATCATAAAACAAGAGGGAAGCCCAGGAGTCCCCTAAAAACAGGCACTGACAGTTCTCAAAGTAATTCTTTAAAAATAGAAACACTTCAGAAAATGAAGAATGCTTGACAACCTGGGGATCACCTGCATGGAAGGGGTTATCTCGAAATTTTGAGAAATCAGAATGACGAAGTTCACAATTAAGGCAGAGTTTATAAGAAGATGGAACGGCTTTTGGAATACTCACCTCTAACTGAACCCTCACAACTTTGATTTATCTGAATCCTACAGTGGGATTCTTCCAGTAACTGAAACTATTTAATGTCTGAAAATCAATGCATCCCTGGGCATAATAGAATCAAGAAAGATTAATTCGTCATTGAATTTGTGAGTCTTGGACCAATGAGAGGCAAGTCATGGCTGGTAAGGTAAGGTGCCATGACTAGGGACATGGAACACAAGTATCTCTCAACAAACACAAAAGGAAGACAGACCATCTGTTGCAGAAACAACTATGAACAGATTGCAGAGAGAAAGAAAATCACCACACTGACCTATCTGTGGTGGTTTTCTCCCTTCTGAAGCCACCAGGAAGGTTAGAGAGCATAGAGCCCCTGAACCAAGTCTTGGAATCAAGGTCTTCCCATTCCACTCACCTGCCAGGATCTGACCCTGCGCTAGGCGCACTGCTGCAGGTATTGCCCCTAGAGAGGAGTAAGCCACCATCCTTCTGAACCCAGTGGGTTCTGAAAAGGGGTCATTCCACCCCACCCAGTGGGTTTCCATCAAGAAGACACACATTCACTCTTGCAGAGCCACTGGTAAAAGGTTTTCTGGATTCCTAGGACTGAAACAGGGAGGAGACAGAATATAAAGCATATTTCCTGCTTAGTCCTCAACATCTCAATACACATTTTTAGAAAAGCCTGCATGAGAAGAATATTAAATAGGATCAGCCATACACAAGTCAGCTTGAGAATTTGAAAATGTTTCAAATACTACAACTTTTACTGACCCAGATAAAGCTTCTACAAGCTATCATTCTGCTTTTCTTAATAAACTATTTAGCAAGACAAGAAAATTATATGTTTTTAAACAAGAAATATTCGGGGACATGTGGGAGACATGTATCATTGTCTCCAGTTTCCATTACATGTGGGAGACATGTATCATTGTCTCCAGTTTCCATTACATTTTTTTATGTCCTTGATTTTCATTTAAGAACATCTCCCACGTACGCTTTTAGTCCACAGTCTATTTGGGGCTCCACAGGCCCCGGGAAGGAACCAATAACCCAGGCTTAAGAAACCCTGTGTGTACTAACTCCCTACATCACAGTCAAGCTGCCTAAATGGGCATGTGCCCAAAATCAGTTCAATTAGAGTGAATCCCAAAGACTTTACATGATCAACTGGAAAAGAGGCAGAAGGGGTTGAGTACAGGAGCCTAGAACAGCTGCTGTGACTATGAGGTAAGGCTACCCAGTGGAGGCAGACATGTGGGGTGGAGAGAAATTGGGTCCTGACGATACCATCTTAGATGCTTTATCAAACAGTCCTACTTAACACCTTTCAGTTTTTTATTTTATTTTTTAAAAGATTTATTTATGCATACAAGAGCTGGGGTACAGGCCAGAGATGTGGGAGGTGAGAGGATTCACCAGAGACAGAGTGGGGAACAGAATACTCAGATCGACAGAAACACACTGCTGAGGGGAGCAGTGGGCGAGGCAGGAGAGGTCTGCTGCACCATGTGGGTAGCCCCCGGCCTGCCAGGGATCAAACTTGTGCTACAGAAGCTGTGGATTGCTTCATAGTGCAGTGCTTAACCCCTTGTGCCACCAGGGAGGCCCAACACCTTTCACTTTTAATAGCCGTAAGTTAAGTTTCTCTTCTTTTTTTTTTTTTTTTTTTTTGTGGGGCCCTCGCTGTTGGCCGGGGAACGAACCGGCGCTGCAGAGGCTGCGGGCAGCCTCGCAGGCCAGCGCTCAACCGCTGTGCCACCAGGGGAGGCCCCAAGTTTCTCTTTTGTGTAAACTTACTTGTGTGGGTTTTCTGTTAATAACCGCTAAAATCACAGGCTGTGATATTTCAGATAAAGGAGATACTACTCCCTGGAAATCTTTGTAGGGTCAACTATATCATTTATACTTTTCACATGTATTTCTACATCATATCTTCCTCTTATGCTAAACTTTAAGAATTATGAATTCCTTCTGAATACAGCCTTCCCATTTTTGGCAGCTATAATCCAGATTACATTGAACTATTTCTTTCCTTCTTGGAACACCAAAGTCAGGATGATTTTTTTCTCATAGAATTTCCCTTAAATTTTTTTGAAAATTGTCCTTAATTTCTTTTTTTTTAATAGAGGCATGTTTTATTTATTTTTTATTTATTTGTTTGTTTGTTTTGTTTATACAAGCACTGGGCACAGTCAGAAGCGCGGGAGGGTGAGAGAATTCACCAGAGCCAGAGCGGGGAGCAGAGCAGGCAGAAGGACCGAAGTACACTGCTGAGGGGAGCAGCGGGCGGCAGGAGAGGTCTGTGCGCCATGTGGGACCCTCCTCCGGTGACCGGGGAGCAGCCGGGGATCGAACCGGCACTGCAGAGGCCACGGGCAGCATCGCAACCCAGCGCTCAACTGCTGCACAACTGGGGAGGCTCATCCTTAATTTCTTAAGAAATTCTTCATTTTTTCTTAAAATTCCCTTTATATTTTTCACCAAAATCTATGAAGCATTCCTCCAGAATAAAAACTGAAAATTACAATGACTGAAAACAGTGGGTGCGAAATAGTAATTATTCTCAATGATTATATTCAGTCTCCATTACACTAATTCATGTATGAAATATATAGGAATCATTTTGAAAATGAGAGGTCCCCAATTCCAAACTAGCAAAAAAGAACCTGTCTGCATGTAAAACAGTCAAAAGTATTTCAAATGTGCCTTGCATCCACCAATCCAGTCTTGCACTCAGGGTGCTTATTATAAATTGACCATTTGGCCTGTCAGCTTCAAACCCAGGTCACCCCACATGCACCTCAGAGCCTGCCCTGGGACCAGAGCCATGGGCAAGGTTAACCTAATTCCCCTCTGCCCGTTGGTTCCCTGTGCTAAGAAGGACTCAGCTGCCCCTGTGGAGAAAGTCCTCAAAGCCTTTCTTTCTGAATGGGCATAATGTGTCTTTTGAAACCCTTAAATCCTCCTCATTGTGGGGCTGCCCTCACCCCTCTGTATGCATTCCCCAGAGGGAGGGACAGTAGTTGGAGCAGAGGAAATGCCATTCAGCGGTTTCGTGCAAATGAAATTGGAGATTTCATGCGATACATGTGGGGTCCATTGTTGGTGTCCAAGCTTATTAGTTGTTTCCTCCTGAGAGCACAAAAGAGTGACTGAGAGTGGAAAAAGCAAGGCCACCAGAGGAGGGGAACCTGAGGGGCCCCCCAGGGCCCGGGGCTGCAGGCCTCATTTCATTCCCAATGACTTCCATGGAGGCCTCCTGAATGGAGGTCGCAGGTGTTTACCTTTCTTCCCTGTCAGTTTCAATCTGGAAGGAGAGAAAATGCCAGTGCTTGTCTTATTGTTGAGAATGCATTCATTCTGCAGATTGTTTTATAGAAGGGCAGGCTTTTAAAACAACAAAAGAAAACGTCACTGGAGTGGACCCGAGCCTTATCCACAGATGGTCTGGTTTCCTACTTAGCGACACTGGATTCCATCCTCCGAGACCTGTCATTTCTTACAAGGGATGCTTTGTCAGAACAGAATCATGGTGGCATCTATGGCCTTAAATATTACTCGCCTCTAATGACCCTACCACACTGCTGACACAGAGAATTTTACAGCAGGTGAGAAGATAGAATCAGCTTACAAATGCAGAGTTTTATAAAATTGGCTAACATACGCAAAGCTAGGTGTAAATAATCCAAAACAGTATTATGTTCTGAGTTGTAGCTGTATTTGCCCTTGCGGATATAGTTAAATATGTCTGCTAATGGACCTCAATTAATGTTTGAGTTTTTTTGTTTTTTAAAAAGATTTATTTATTTTTTTATGCATACAAGAACTGGGGTACAGGCCAGAGGTGCAGGGGGTGAGAGGATTCACCAGAGACAGAGTGGGGAGCAGAACAGGCAGACTGACTGAAGTACACTGCTGAGGGGAGCAGCGGGCGAGAGAAGAGAGGTCTGCTGAGCCACGTGAGTAGCTCCCTGGCAGGCCAGGGACTGAACTCACACTGCAGAGGCTGTGGATAGCTTCACAGTGCTGTGCTTAACCCCTTGAGCCACCAGGGAGGCCCTAATATGTGAGTTTTTATTCCACAAACATTAATGAAAAGCATAGTTTATGCCAGGTATTGTGAGATACCTGTACCTAGTACAGTACACACAAAAATGAAGGACGTCTTCAAAGTTTTCTCCCTCTGGTGAGAAAAGCAGCAAGGTTCTAGAAAGTGTAGGTAATACAGAATTAAAGAAAATGAACATGTATTCAGCACAAGCATCAACAGAATGGATCACATGGCTACCTGCCAAGAAACCCCTCAGAATGGCCTCACCTTGGTAAATATCTGTGTCAACAACCTGACCAGCTCCCTAGAAAGCTCAGATATCTGCGGCTGTCAGCATACTGAGCTTGACTCTGTCTCTGGGAGACTAACTTATACTGTGTTTTCCAAGACCATTCCATCACCCAGAACTCAGTCCTAATGAAAGAGTCACAGCGCACCTTGCATCATACTGAGGATTCTGGACATGGGGTTTGAGAACAAACAGCAACTCATCCTGTTTCTGAAGTGAGATTTATTGCACTGTCTCCATCTGTTATACTCAAGAGAGTTGAGATGAGTACGGAGTCAAAACCAGGGAAAGTATCTCAGGACAACACATTTTTGATGACTTCAGGCTGTGAAAGGACACGATATCTGTCTGCACACCAGTGAGACCTGCCAGGGCCACCTGAGCAGGTAAGAGGACAGTCACACTTTCCCCGGCCAAAGCCATGGCATGCATTCCCTGCTGACCAGCTCACTTCCTCATTAAGTCATTTTTTTAAAGTTTTAATATATCTAATTTTACCGCATGTATATATTTTTCTGACTGCAGGCCAATCAAGAATAAAATTGATATTACCAGATGATATTATCCCTAGAGTCTGTGATGTATTTTCCTTCCATCTTTACTACATTTGCATAGGTGGGTGGATAGATAGGTAGACAGGTGATGGGCAGATGCATGTACATAGGTGTAGACATGTATGTATATGTCTCATGTGGTAAGCTGCAGGCTCTGGGGTGTTTCATGGCAGTGTGGTGTCATACCCACAGAAATTTCAGTCCAGCATCTGTAATAATTTACAAGTAACTTAAATATTTGCAATAGCCTCTTATAAAAAAGATAAGACAAAGCAGGGATATTCTGAGCAGAAAATCTTAAATACCCTTGTACCTTATTTGAATTATTCTCTCAATGTTGCAGACCTACAACTCTCTCTCACTCCCCAAAATATTTACCCCTTCAAAACTCATTATTTTCAAAGCAACAAGCTCTCTTGTTTAGTGCATTTTTTTTTTTTTTTTTTTTAGATGTACTTATTCATTCATACAAGAACTGAGGTATAGGCCAGAGGTGTTGGGGGGGGCGGGTAGGTGAGAGGATTCACCAGAGACAGAGTGGGGAACAGACAGGTAGAGTGACTGAAATACACTGTTGAGGGGAGCAGCAGGCGAGTCAGGAGAGGTCTGCTGTGCCATGTGGGTAGCTCCCTGGCCGGGGATTGAACTCGTGCCTCAGAGGCTGCAGACAGCTTCATAGATTGCGTCTTAACCCCTTGCGCCACCAGGG